CTGCTTTTCTCTCGACCCAGCTCATCTCTAAGTGTGAGATCCACAAAATATCAAGTACTTCTAGCAGACAAATGAAATTCGGTGTTTTGACGTATGGCACACACAAACGGACAGAAAGTCTGTAGGCCGCTCGCAACCAAACAAACCAATAATCTTACTTTGAGTTCAGCTCATCAGTTCGAGTGTCCTATTAATTGTGGGTTAGACAGCGTTCTGTGTATCACAAAATGCCGATTTGGAACGTGTGCGTTACCAACGGACTTCGCGAACCGTTTCCGGCTACCTACAGATCTTTCTTCCAACCTCATTCGTTGAATAGAAATTAAAGAGTGAAGGGTATCAACAATAACTGTAAAGCCAACCCAAGCTGTCGATGATCTAATGCTTGCATTGCCTGGCTTTACGAACAGTTTCGTGCTGCTTATTTGATCGAGGTTGTTCCACACCAAAACTGTGACCTAATGCAAGTTATTTGATTTTTAGTTGGCGTTTTAATCATAATGTCATAGTTAGCAACGATCCGCGTATTAGGTGCATGTGTGTTAGTGGGAATTCGTAATCCCATGCAGAATATTATCCCTCCTTAGCGACCTCTGCGTATCAAAGCAGTGCGTTTAGGTTGTGTGGGGATTTGGGTAGAGAGCTCCAATGCTTTTGGAGATTACCATGATAGTTCACGTTTTCGTGGCAATCCGGAGAGCTAATTCGTGAAGTTTAATACCAGTTCTCCCAGGTTTGATTGCCTATGGTCGTAGTGAGCGTTCGAATCCAGTTTATTTTATCTTGCTAGGTGATAGGAATAGGAAGTTCCGGTTAAATACTGGCGGTCGAGTGGGAATTGATGTGCGTTCTCCTATCTCCACTCGCGCGTTGCGTGTACCGGGTTACCGTAATTATGTCCAACGGTTGGTCACACAGGTTAGGCCTATCGAGAGCGTGGACTCGCACCCGTTCTCGCGAGAACGGAAAATTCAATTTTTTTCGCCATCTATCTCTCAAGTGCTAACCGTTTTTCCAGTTTTGGAACATGAGTTTGCAAAGGATGCTCGCCTATACGACCATTCTTCCTGTCTTTAGATTGGGTGAACAGCAGTCGCCTCCGTCCTCGAAAATCCACACGCCTCCACCTTCACCCGCTTTTAGCACGAATGAAGAACGATCATTCATCCTTCAAAATGAGTGAGTTTAACGACGTTATATCATCATGTTCCGTTATTGAACTGGGTTCGTCATTTCGAAGTCGCTCGAATTACCTGACCTTAGATATGTTCACAGTATACGTACAGACGATCCACAATTTTAGTATGTCTTGACTTCAAGGATGCGTTGAACTCTGTTTGGCTGTCGATTTTCCTAACTGCGGTTACTCAACGTTGTCGGAAGTCCATGGAACGTAATTTTCGGGGGGGGGGGGGGGGGGTTTTTGGGGTCTTAAAGCTCGTCCTGTTGTGCGCAATGTTCTCAAACCGCATCGACGCTACTTATATGTGCATGTTGGCTGGTTAACTAGAACGTTTTTCTTGTCTGATGTGGCTACCTGCTTGTCTAAATTGCGTCCTTCGTGTGGCTGTCAACATGAGTCACATTTTAAGCTGACGGTTAGATGCTAATGCACTACGTACGGTGTCTGCAACAACCAGCTCAGCGCAGATTCTAAACAAGGATTCTTCGTAGTCGCAGTTTAACAAGTCTTAGTTTCTAATCGAGATTTTGTCCCGTAACTGAATCCAGTCTAGTCTGTTCTGCTGTTTCACCGCTATTGAGAATCATCAACAGTGCACATCTCGCGCAACTCCAGGGGGTCTTGATCCTGCGACCTGTCGGCTAGTAGCTGGAATATTTGACCTTTCGGTCACAAGCGACTGATCGGCAGTATAATTAACTCACAGTTACATAGGATATGGCGCCGCCCATCCCTCAATCACGACGCTGGTACCATTTCTAAGTGCGAGTTCTTCGGACTGCTGATCAGCTGCTTCATCTGCTGAAAATTCCCAACCCTAACACTTCTAACATTATACACGTTGCTCAGGTCGAATGCTTCCGCAAGACGAATGAAATTCGCATCTGAGGAGTCATCACTCGAGGGACCAGTCAACACGTGATTGTAATGTGGCCTTCCTGACTGAAAGATGAGTGGTGCTATATCCTGTTTACTCGTCACATAATCACTACGGACAAGCAGCTCGTGGTGCATTGACTAATTGTTCAAACTGCTAGCAGGGAGGTTATAGGTTCGCAACTTCTTGGATCTTTTGTGAGATACACACTACTGATGCCAGGAATTTTCAGTAGGATGGGTTACTGATTCAATCTCGTCCCAGTAGCAACTTAAGCTTATGGAATCAATTTGGTTGGGACGCTCAGTGCATTGACTATTTTGACCTAGCAACGCGAAATGAAATCGTATTCTGGTAACCTAGGATCTACGAAACCATCCAGCTCTTCTGTTTGAAACTTCTGTGCTTCAAGTTGCATGAGGACGTAAATCAAAACCAGTCTACTTGAAACCTAGCAAGTTTAGTGAATGTTGTCGCTTATTGGTCGCTTTGTATAGTGCTTAGTGTTTTGTCTGAAAATGTAGACACGCTGCCATTTGTTCTCCACAGTGTCTACTTGGCAATTATTCTCTGTCCTCCCGTTTTTTCCATTTCACAATGGTCCCCTTGAACTCGTCTCCTCACCACTTTGTCGTAATTCGGTGTATTTCGCTGCTAAGTAAATTAGGAATGCATCAAAACTTCCAACAGGGCCCGGAAGTACTGAAGTCTTTCACTCTCGGCAAGGACTAGGTTCCTTCCGGAGTCAGGAAACACGAAGATGTTAATCACGACGGTTAAAGTTCGTCTAACAGCGGCGCAGTAGGATCTTCGAACATCCAGATTAACCTTGGTGTTTGTCGCCAGAACACAGAAGTTGCACTGACTATTTTTAAGTGGTCATTCTTTTGTAGTTTCACTGAACCTTAAGCGCTATCACTGAAAAGCCAGGAAGCTTTTTCACCTCCGACACGTGTCTTAGTGTCGACTTTCTCTTTGGAACTGTTGTATGAATAGCGAAATACCGAAACAGCAGTTGGTGTACCTAAGTAATCAAGATTATGGTCATTTTGAATGTCTCGTGTGCATCCTAGCGTTGCGCCAAACCATCTAAAATCTCCTAATCCAGATCCAAACATAACGATGCAATGCAAGAATAATTCATTCTCCCAACTTTCTTTGCACGTAGATATTGAACTTGTTGCGGTATACGCTAATAACACAATCCCAGGTGTATAAATAGGTAACGAAGTCACGCATCTTCGAGATGGGGGCAACTTCTGCTGTCATATGTGTCTGTTCTCTGTAATTTATGACGTCACTTCACACTTCGTCACAATTTCGTCACGAATAGTCGCTATAGTTTTCAGTTGCCCGTGTTGAATTAGGAAGCCACACATACCACTTTTCAAAGGCTTTTATTTCAAAGATTAACTTCAGTGGAAAGGTTTTGTTAGTGCTCACTCTGAGCACTGACGCGCAGTGATTCATCTCAGCTTGTGTACATAGTTTGGCTTCGTGTGCTCATAAAGGTACTGCCCGTTGATTGTCACTTCATACTTATGGGATGATCGAACCGGGCCTGAAAGTCGCGGTGACTCATGGGCGGCCTTATTTGATTTTTGGGAACCTGAACAGATTACAAAACCTATATTGATTTTACTCGCTTATTTCCGACAGGTAGTTCATTATTCCCATGGTACTGATGCGCTTGCCGTTAGTCCTCGTGCTCACCTTATGGTTTAATAGGGCCTGGTTCCGTGCTTTCCAGAGCCGACATGTTTGTGATGCTCAGTTATGGTGGAAATCGGAACTATGGGCAGTATTTCGTGACAGTTTACTATTGGCCTATTCTGCATTCTTCTGGCCTGATCTGGTTATGCACGTTGTGGATGTACACTTCTAAACTTTCATCATTGGTTGAAATTCTGCCTAAGGGTGGATTGGAGCAGTTCAGGCTGGATGACTCGCTCAATTGGTTTATCTGAGAGCAACACGACCTGCTTACCATACTTTCGGCGAGTGCTGCCTGCACAGGTCTCGTTCACTTGAGGCGTATTCGAAGCACACACACACTACATCCAGTTCGAATCAAATTTGGTCAGAGTCTGCATTTTTGAACGACTTCAGTTGGATTTTCCACACGCTATACTTTTTACAGCCAACCCCTCACACTTTCTCTTCATATTGGAAATGTGAGCACCTCAGCATGAATGTGGTAAGCTACCACTTGGAGCCTTACCCATTCTGTCTTTTTCAAGTCTTAGGTTTTCGATGTAGTTGAGTAAAATTTCTGGTTGTGCAATGAGGCATCATTGTCAACACTGATTTTTGTGTCTGACAACGATGGCTTGTGGAGAATTGCCGGGGCCTTTCAGGACGTTAATTTGAAGGATGATGAGTCACTATGACTAACTAGCCTACTACTCACATGATGAAGTTTGTCCCTTATAAACGTTCGCTTACATTACGTGGGTCTTCCGTTATTGCTCCCACCGTTGGCTCACATGAGAGACTTTATCGATTTTTGCTCTAAGCTTCTATTTATTCAGTGGTGCCCCAAAAGTGAGGCGTGTGCGCCCGGCCCTCACCACTGCCATTCCCTTAACAACACTGCTGAACACTTCCATACAACCATGGCTATTTGTTTGGTGTAATCTTAATACGGTAAGTTTGTTAATAAAACTAAACAGACATCTTGTTAGTAGGTGCATCTTTCTACACTGCACCCTGGTTGATTAAGGATTGACTCAACAACTACACTCATTTGCATACCAGTTCGGTTTTTGTTTGCGACTCTAGCTGAATCTCTCGTTTACTCACTTGACTACTCGTAAGTAGCAAGCCTGTTTGTCCTTGGTGGTCGTAAACCCTTACAATGGAACGGATGACCCTCAACAAGGGCAAAGGACCTCGTGTGGCCAGTTAGGTCGGGATCTTCGATCAGTAAACCGAATATACATGATGAAAACAAGTGGAGGTATACCGCAGTGGGAAACAAACTCGCGGTCTGTTGTTTGCTCACCGATTGCTCTGCCAGCTTGGGATGGTGGCCCACGTCGCGTGTATTCATCGGAGTCCACAATGACTCTTCACACCGCTGCCTGTCCTGCTCCAGCTCCTATGGTTTTGCTTGGGTTGCATGTTTTCAATCAGTATTATCCACATCCCAGCTCCCTTACCTTAGTTGACCGCATTTTCCAAGCTTGGTCTCTCTCTCATCTTCCGATGTTCTTGGAGTTTTTTGTGGTGAGTAGGATTTGTTTCGATCACGATCATCGGTCAAGTAACTAAGTCTTTGGGTCACATAGGTTCTAATAGGACTACTGCTTTTTTCCTTGTTTTTCATAGTCGCATCACGCTTTATCTGAGTTTCTACTAAACGTTTCCAATTCAAGTTCACGACCGCGGTTTACTCTTATGAAGAGTCGCCCATCTCATGATGTACACCTTTCTGTACCAGGACAATCGTCTCGTAGTATCGGGCATTGCCACTTTTGGACTGAATGTGTTGCGTCACTGAAACTGATCAACGTTTGTATTTTGGTTTTGAGCTGTTCATATTATTTCTCAAACAAATTCAGGCTTTTGCATTCATCCTACTCAAATTTGCCGGACCGTATTTTCGTATTTGCATTCGAAGAGGCACACTTGTCTCGAAAATAAAAGATGCGTTGTGTCGCCTACACTTCTGACCTCTAGAGTTAGGTTGTTCATATTACCTTCGACGAAATGAATGGATACGTTAGCTTCGGCTTTTGACCTGATCTTTTGAGGACACTATCTTCCACCGTCGTTTAAGTGTATCTGCGTGGACGAAATTAAAGTGTTGAGGTCAAGTATGAAGAGTCCAAAACGCACTGAACGGATGTGAGATTTCAGGCGAAGCGTTTTACGACACGCCAACGACCTTATGTGTACGGGGCAGACCAGTACCATGAAGCTATGTGGATCAGGCTATTATGCCCTTGGACCCGTCAAGAGCCCTAGAATAACCCCCCCCCCCCCACTGTTCCCTCGTAGGTTACACATTTGAGTCATGGGCTAGGTGACAAACCTCACATCATCCGACCTGATGGGTCGGATTCAGAGGTCCAACGTGAGGCACCTTGACCTAATCCACTCCTTCGGCCTGGGAAACCGAAAAATATCATTCCCGCTACTCCACTCTTCTCCACGGAATGTGGTTGGTTGTCAGTCACCTAGCCGTTACTCTATACACCCAGCGAGGTGAACCACTGTAAATCCTCATTAAATTTCACCCTGCAGTCGTCAACGTCCTTACTGTGTGTAAAATTGAACAAAACCTATGCCATCGTCACACTTTGTTTTCTGTTTCGATCGATATAGGTTGTTTCTCCAAAGCACGCAAGACCACAGTTCCATCATGCAACTAAAACTGCTCAGGATGAACTCATACTTCTCGTGCCTTATCCTCTGGATGTGTGGTGATCCTCGTGCAGTTATTCACTATATATACTGCGTGGGAGTTGTGCCTAGCCCCAAAGTTGATTGGATGCTAGTAAACGGCCATCTTTGCTCTGTTTGGTTAATTGGCTCAATTAAAATCAGTGCATCTCGACGCGAAAAGCGCTGTTTGTGTGTTGTGTCAGCGCACGCTGCGATGTTGTGGTTCTGGCAGGTGATATGAATGCCGATATGGGTGTACTGTGTCCGGAGGAAGCCCATCTTGGCATCCGATTCGGGGCTGACGCTCACCCCACGGATAATAGAAAGTGACCTCTTCAGGCATATGCTGAACATCAGGCACCGTTAAATAAGTAAACGTTATCAAAGTGTGCTCAATCAAAATGGGTACCCTACAACTTTTATAGCGAAGGCAACCGATAATTCACAACCGAGAAAGCAGCCCGGCGAGATGGCTCAGTGGTTAGAGCACGAATTTACTGGCCGGAAGGTCCATGGTTTAAACCCGACTTCTGCCTCTCGACTTCCCCTGTCTAGGCTTGGGCAACCTGGCAGTATTCCAGTCTTCGTGCTTGCCTCTGGTGACATAGCAGCTAGGCACCGAAAGGGTGTTACAGCTTAAAGGTTATCTTTATAATCCCGGCAGCATAACGTTTGTGCCTACAGTACGTATCCCCTATCACTAGCAAAGTTCCGAACGATTGGCTTCAGTTTCGTCCATTTTCAACATGCACGCTTGTTGGGCTTGCCTTCAAGTCATGGTATTTCTCTGCATTCTGCGGCTGTAGTGCTCAGTTCACTGTTCGTTGTTGTCTGTTCGGTGACATTTGGTTTGCAAACATCTTGCCACCAATCGAAGAAGCCTCGTCAGTACATTTATTTGATAATTGCTCAAACAAATGTGAGAACCAATTAGATTGTCGGCGGTTGACACCACAACTGCTTGCACTGTTTGCGTCCAGCAGTTTAATCGATCCGGACAAAATGCAAGGGCTTACTCATATTGCTGAACGGTCTGTCCGACTTTTCTTCATGTGCGCCTAATTTGTCCGATACTAGTGAAATTAGTAAGACATTACTCAACGTCGATTTTTCTGAACCCAGCACTAAACGTCTTACGTATCCGTCAGCATTTTTGATAGTGCAGATATCTTTTAAGTTTGTTGGTACGGAAAGTTGCTCTTCGCCACCGGGTTTGAAGTATGAACTTCATTTTATAGTACCTAGGGACGTTGTTCACGAACATGCGTTCGATTTTTTCGTCCCAAAAGTGAGTATGACCGCTGTTTGCAAAGGTAATCTGGACTTTTTCTGGTAGAAACGGGTTGTTTACGTACAATATTCAAGAACATACATTCGTAACAGGAAAAAGGATTTTGCAATGAAATACGAAACTACTCATCAGAAAGAGATCCCCCCGCCCTCAGAACTAAAGATGCCTTCAGTAGGTAAGCCCGTCAACTACTCTTCCTGGACAGCTCCCATTGTTGTGGTCAAGAAGACGAATGGGAAGATCAGGATTTGTGCTGATTATTCCACAGGATTGAATGCTGCACTCGATTCACATCAGTATCCTCTCCCAGTTCCAGAAAACCTGTTTACCAAACTTAATGGTGCCACCTGCTTCGCTAAACTCGATCTGACTGATGCCTATTTACAAATCGAAGTTCCAAATGACTCCAATGATCTTCTAACCGTTAACACACACCGTGGTCTTTTCCAGTTCAGCCATATTCCAACAGATCATGGGCGCTATGTTTAATGGGTTGACAGGCGTCGTGGCGTGCTTGATGATATCATTGTGGCAGCAGTATCCTCCCCAGTTCCAGAAAACCTGTTTACCAAACTTAATGGTGCCACCTGCTTCGCTAAACTCGATCTGACTGATGCCTATTTACAAATCGAAGTTCCAAATGACTCCAATGATCTTCTAACCGTTAACACACACCGTGGTCTTTTCCAGTTCAGCCATATTCCAACAGATCATGGACGCTATGTTTAATGGGTTGACAGGCGTCGTGGCGTGCTTGATGATATCATTGTGGCAGCCTCTGATCAGGGAGAACTCCTTCATCGCTTAACCTCAGTACTTGATCGAATCCAGAAATACGGCTTTCATCTCCGAGCAGAAAAATGTGCATTCTTTCTTACGTCTATCAAATATTTGGGTTTCATCTTCGAAAAATCTGACCGTCCTTCTGACCCGGACAACATTGATGCCATTCAGAAAATGCCACCACCGACGGATGTGCCTTCACTGCGATCTTTCCTCGGGTTGGTGAGCCATTACAGCCATTACAGTCACGTGAATCAATTTCGCCCTGGATGCGCTGCACCGGCTACATCGTATAACTCAATTCCTCTTGATATATTGTTGGATACTTTTGAGTTACCATCTACACATATGCCTTCTGTACAAACAGACAACCTCCAAGTCGAATCCATATGCACACCAAGACGGTGGTCCAGTCGCAACCCGGAACCACTCACACCAATGCAGGTGGTTCCACATCTGATAACCTACACACATTTTGAAACGGGAGGTGTTATGACGGCCAGGTCCTGACGAACAATTCTACCCCCTGTAATATTTCACTGAGATTCCATTTTCCCTCTGTTTTAGCCAACCGAGCCGCAGCGCTCTTTCTTCTGTTGGTTCATCTGCAGTATAGTCGATCTTCATCTGCTGTCCTTTGTCCTCTTCTCTGAGGTTTCCCCACTCAAGTAACTGAACTATCAACGTGACAGAATAAATTGCATCAAGCTCTTAAATCACTCAGCTAGCTTCAACACAACACAACAGGGTGTAAACACCACATGACGTCGAAGCAAGATTGACAGTTTATACAAATCAATCAGAATCAGCAGATTCATGAAAATTCCTGAGTTGATGTAACTGTTTTTCATCCCTTTTTACTGCACGGATTAAAGTTCAAAGGTATTGGGTGTTAAGGCAGACATTTCAGAGGCTTTGATTTGTTTCATGAAAGGTCCTTGGAGTGGGAGTTCGGCGCAAGAGTATTCCGCGCCGTAATGACGGTTTCCTTGTGTTTGCCGTGCTTCATATCGGAAGATATTAGACATAAAAGCTCACAGGTTGTCCACTGACTAGTTTTGTTCTTTATTCATTCTCTAGAACGGGGATCCGAATGGCTTTGAATGCGCAGACACGAGAGCAGTTCGAACAATATGCAATGGAACACTTTCCAGACGACGTTACCAAGGTAAGCTTGGCTTTGCCAGGTGTGTCTCCCTACTGGCTGTCATCTGGGGAACTACCACCGTTCAAGCGTGAACGAGCCTTATTGATTTGCAACACCTAGATCTTGGTTCGGGTTATTGGTTTGTCCGTTTTGCTTCAAATACCTATTTTCATCAGGTAGCGCGGTTGATGTGTACTAGCTCAATCTTATCCAGTCCTCAGTCATGCTCGTTCCTAAAGTGTCTCACTTACGAAGCCAAACTGAAAAGCTTCAGGTGTGTGTTGCAAATGAGCACATATTCGAATTCCCTGCATGTTAGTGTGCGTTGATACCAGATGGTAGTCTCCACTAAGACTGCAGTCTACAAATTTCCCAGGATGACAGTGTAACTGGCTATATCACTCTCATCGTCTAATTATATATCCTTCTTATCGAACCTATTGCTTTCATTCTCCGCACTTGTTCTGACTCACTTTTACAGAGTTCATTGAGACAAAAATAGGTGCCAGCCGTGTCTGTCCGTAGCTGTGGGTGGTGCAACTATTTATTGATATAAACCTTCTGGAAATTACGGTTGAACTTGTGAGTACTAGGGTGTCCGACTTGGTGCAGTGCAGAAAGCATGAAGGTGACCCTCGAAGCAATCGTTTATCGGGTTTCCGTGTGCTGTCTTCGAACTCGGCCGCCCCGCACAAAAAAACTTGCACTACTACACGGGGAGACCGCTCACTTGATAGAACCTTCATTCGGAAACGGATACCCAGGTTCGTTTGAGTTCACAGGCAACATCGTCAACCCGCATGAGCACGAATCAAAGTGATAACGCAGCACCCAAACGACGTTTTACAGATACTGGATGACAACCATTTGTGCCGCTCATCCGTCGAATAAGAAGTTTGTAGTATTTTACTTGGTAAATGCTCACCGGAAATTTTTCTTTTGTTGTCTGGGATGAAATTATGTCCTGCAAGTTGAACTACTTAGTCGGAGTGACAAGTCGACGAAACTTCTACATGATTAATCGAATCAGATGGCTGGCAAATCCGATCTTGTGCACTCTCATTGGTCGATACTGGAGATCCAACAAACGGTCATGCGGTGCCCCCTAGATCCTTACCTTTAGCGAATAACAATACTCGTCATTCTAGTGAGGGTCATTCTATTTTGAGCTAATGGATAGGTCTATCCATACCTCAGCTGTCTCAGCATTTTCAGTGAGAATTTCATCCTGTAAGTGAAACTGGTGTATGTGCAAAAGCCGATAAGCGCTGCACATCTCTTTCTTCCCCTATTTGGAATCATCAGCTCACGAAACTCTATAAAGTTTCGAACCCATGACCTCCAGACTGGTGGTTTGAACACCTAATCATTCGGCTACCAGCGACCAATCAGCAGTTGTTTGAGCATTCCTAGAGGATAGTCAGTCCTTCCAACCTTTCTGTTGAACATTGGTTTCAATCATCAGAAACCGTTAGCCTTGAAGACATTGGCAAATCATATCTAATTTTGGCAGTGAGCAGTAGCAACGTAGTATCAGCTGGTTTCGAATTCCTTCACGACTCTTCACTTGTATCTTGAAGCTCCGCACATGTCGGCGAAGTACCTTCCTCATTCCCCGTTTTCCAATTAGAGAAACTTGTTCTTCTGTTCTCTCGGCTTATACTCGCTTCGTCGGACATCATTTGAGGATGAACAAGCAGGGATTCCCATCAGCCAGCCACAGAAGCACGTATGTCACCAACCCATATGATTATCGTAAAAGCCTGTTGATAGATGGACAACGGAACAGTGAAATCGCTGAAATTCATGTCGAGCCAGATGTTCTCGAATCGATCCCACCAAAAATCGAGAAACCGGCTGCATCGTGGCAAATGAATTCAGAAACCAGCCGAGTTCTCATTTTGACGGTTTAAACATGTGTACTATGTCGCCGAATGCTTGGTGCAGCTCAGTCCACAACCTTCGTACCACGTGACTGTGCGAACTTCGGTGTCATCTAGGCGTGAACCGACAGAATGTGGTCCGTATCTTGTTTCGACAGTCATTCAGTGGATCCCGCATTGCATCGGAGTGCAAGTCATAAGTTGCTATCAGTATACGGTCGGCGAGTCTCCTTTTCGCACACGGGGTGTCACATCACATCCATTGTGGATGTGTTTTTTAGAACTAGCTCAGACCATGCATTAGTCATAGTCCGTGTAAATCGAAAGCCGTCTACTGTAAGGGCGAAGGCAGATCTTTCTCGACTGATTCTACACAGTTCCGTCAAGAATCTCATTAGTAATATTAGTGGGTATTTAGGAGGGGGTGTACGGTATCTTATTGTCCGCTTTGAACCAGCATAGTCCGTTAGATCGAAAGCTGTCTACTGTAAGGGCGAAGACAGATCTTTCTCGACTGATTCTACACAGTTCCGTCAAGAATCTCATTAGTAATATTAGTGGGTATTTAGGAGGGGGTGTACGGTATCTTATTGTCCGCTTTGAACCAGCTCCAAATGGCACATCCAGAACTCGTCCCATTTTCCATGCGGGTATGCTTGCGTGCAGTTTTTTTGTTCATTCCAGTCACTCCATTCAACTATTGTTTTTTAAAGGTATCTTGAATTCGTGATCAACGTGAGCGAGCCGGCACTGACCTTGCGGAATCCTGTGTAATTCGTGGCATAAGGTCCTTCCATTGTGGGGTGTTTTCCTTTAGGTTCATGCACTGTATTATCCTTTCAACTAATCAAATACTCGTATAACGATAGCTTCCTTATACTTCAAGCCTAATGGAGATTGTCAAACATGTTCTCCTATCTATCTCTTCTCCGTGTTTTATTCCACTTTCGATACTTTTTTCAGCGCCAAGAACTGATTGCTCATTTGCAAGACTGCCATTTCCGCGAATACGTGGCCTACATTCAACAGCAATATGCCTTAGCACGTCAGCGGCAACTCACCGATAAGGCATCAAATTCCATCGATTCTCCCGCATCACCTACTCAGGATGCTGAAGCACCCCATACAAGTAGTGATCTGTCTCCACAGACGCGAGTCAACGGAAACGGTCCTTCTGTAAAGGTCAGCGGAGAGTTCGTGGAAAAACTAATGGACTCAATGGAAAAAGTAGCGGGCATAGTAGCTTCCCAAACCAACTCTGATGCGGTGAGCAATTACGAAATCTTTTTACCGGTTGGCGCGTTTCTTGCTGGTTCGCTCTGGTGTAATCACATAGGTCGATGGGTTTTCTTAGCAGAAATAGGGGTCTAACGTAACCGAAAACCACAAAGCACGATACGATCGCAAAAACATTTCTCTGTCTCGCGTATTTGAGCTGATGACTACGGCAATCAACTCTGACGAAACTACCAACTGATATCGACATGAGTGTACCCGACCGGCGAGTACCAGTTCTTTTACCTGCTTTACCCCACTCACATTTGTAAACAACAGAAAAAATGATAGATGCTACTATGTAAATGAGACAGGTCACAAGGAGATACAGTATCTTTTCTAAAGGCCATCTGATCTCCCGATATTGTGTAAGGTAACGGGATGGCGTCAGCCTTCTTTGTCCGGTGTCGTTTCTTTTGAGAGTGTTTTCTTACTGCCCACTTGTAGCCAACCTCCATGTTTGTTATCTAGCGGTAACCGAAATACTAAAACAATAACTTTGGTGTCTTTGTGGATGAATTCGCACGTATGCAATAACTCGAAGTCGAAGACTAGACTCAATTTGAAGGTGCCCATGTCGTAATTCCAATTCTGGACGACAGGCCACGGTGTTATCCACTCACGAGCATCCGCGTTTGGGTACAAGGCACGACAGTAACTCACTGCTGATAGTCTGTACTCTATTAAGGGCCAAGTCAATTCCAGAATCATTTCTTGCTCTGCTCACACTAAAATTGCAGAACTGTCATAAACCAATTATTTATTGCAAAATAATGTAACTGCAATGTTAGAGAGGTTTTGCAATCATTTGCAGTCATTTATGGTGTCAGAGAAACGTAATCTGGCAAACAAGACCTTCGTTTACCGTCTTTGGTCTGCAAGCAGTCCCACATGGACAGTGTAATATCCTGCCATGATGAACTGGATGCTGAGGAATCGAGAGTCGAACGCAGCCTGTTGTGAACAACTTCAATTTTCATCATAGGATGTGGTGTCTTATCGCTTTCATCGGATGGCTCATATAATCCGAAGAGTAGATTCCGTTGTGTAATCGAATGTACTGTCGCAGGGTGTGGAAGTCAACAGGGCTTTCATCTATTGTTTGCCAGCATTGCAGCTTTCAGTAACTGTTGCTAAGTTGGCTGTTCCCCTTAACTGCCATTTGTTGCGTTGGTTGTATGTTTGGGCCATCATCTCAGTCTGTGTTTCAACTTCCATTTTGCATACAGGTTCATCACGCTGACACTCAACTTCCTCGACCTCCAAATCCTCAATTGGTCGCGGATGAATCCACTGCCGATCACCTTTCAGATGAGATTATTCCAAATTCTCAGGCAGGTAAGAGTGCATGTTCATCCCACACAGTAGTATTTCGCTTGGAAGAAAAACATTTTCGCTACCGAATTGAGTGATCCGTTTAATCCTGATATAAATTACTGGCTGGAAGTAGTGGGTACCTGAGAAATACTCCATGTTCTCATCCAGTCTCACTCTAACTTAGCAACCGGCTTTCGTTTGCAGAAAATGTGGATACTTCCGCTCCTGAAGAACATTTCGGAAACGAGCAGACTGCAAGTCCCGGAGCACTCATTCGGACACCGACAATGTGGACGCGGAGTGAGATCGATGAGTTCAAAGAAAGCTTGGCTGACACGAAAGATGCCATTGTACAAGTGGGCTGCGGTGAAGTCATCACGGTAAATTCCAGTTTATGCATTTAGTGATGAATTAAAATTTCTGTGAAGTGCTTACGCCATTGGTGATTTTGTGGGATTTTGGTAGCTCAATAAAATCCATTACTTGTTGGCCTGATCGCTAAACTTGACTGATAATTATTGGAAAGTTTAGTTCGATAGCTTAAGCGAAACTTATTGGAAAGTCGTACGCGTATCTCCTTATAGATTTTTAACGGATTCGTCGTACTGAATGAACGTGACTCTCACGTTGTTTTGATCAATTGATTGTCCGGGCTCTGTTCTAAGGCCATACTAGGAATACCTTCACATAATTCTTGCGATGTAAAAGGTTTCGGTGTTCCTCCGGTCTAAGCCACATTCCAGTGTGTGAGTGAACTTTGCATTCAACAGAAAGTTTGTAACGAGAATGCGTATTCGGTTTGCAGTTGGGTGAACGTGTGAAACCAGCTGGGAAGTCATTCTCTTCGAATTGATACAAGAGCTTACCAAACTTCAATGAAACGTCTGGAGAGTTCAACTGATTGCCAACCCAAACCTTATAGACACGGTCCACAAAAGTTACTTGGCCGTATTCTCCTGAACTGATAGAAAGCGTGCGATTTCAGATGGTTTAACTAGAATAGTTCTGTTCTGTTATTTGTTTTGAAGAGACGTTAGCTGTAAAATTATGCGATTGTGTTGGCAATTGATGAACACCCCTCTTCCAGCGATATCGGAAATTGTGGAGTAGCCTCCACGTTGTTCCTGAGTGCGATGTAAGCTCGCGAGCATCACACACATCGAAGTTGTGAATCGTGTTTGCTATTCTGCTCCCCGTTTCACTAGGGTTGCCCCGGTCCTTCATCGGGGACTACAGTGCGATGTGTTTTATATAGTTTTAAAGCATGTGTGACCTTTGTGAATGGACGAACCGGAACGTTTCTAGGATAAGGTGAAGTCCCAGCACCACATGCCTTACATGCAGGATCCACAACGAGACAGTTATTCGACCATGCATCAGGTATTTAATTGATGTTTGTATTTGCTTTCCGACCCGCTTTCCTTGTTTACCTTGCACAACCCGGGCGATTCAGATGGAGGAGGGAGTACTTCTGGACTTGGTGGGAAGGTATCAGAAGATTTAGTTGTGTAGTTAACCCTTATTCCGGAGCTGAGTTCGCTTGGCCATATCCCTCTGGCTTAGGATGCTGAAAGATCTAGTTGCCATGTGAGATCGGTGACATTCTCGCTGTCACTTCATGTATGAGCACCTTCCCCGGACATGCGTAGGTGCCTTGGAAATTACGTTGTACTATAGCACCTGGCCGCCCACCTCCATTGTGTTGCTCCGCCCCACGTTTGAGATTTCCTCAGAGTGAATAAATGGCATTAAAGTATGCTTTTTTTAACACGGCTTTCACATATTTACGACGACCCTAGATGAAATCTAATACAATTTCTGTTCTGCTCATACCTACTCCTATCAGATTCGAGTACCGGCCTACCCAGCAGGATCCAGTATCGTTTGGGAGTTTGCAACCGACAGTTATGACATCGGATTCGGATTATTTTTCGAATGGGCCTCGCCAGAATCAGAAGTTCATCAACAACAACAGCCGGACTTCCCAGTAGACCACGATAAATCAAGTATGGTTTTGCCCTGGGTGGCTTTCTTGTTATCTGTAAGAGTGAACTCTTACTTGATTGTCTTGCTCCATTGCTGTAGAGGAGATTGCTGGTATTTTGGGTAGTGCATTCAATGGTTTTGTTTGACTTTTTGTTGGAACCACCAAGTAATGGTTTGATTAATGCTGTACTTGTTACCTAGGTGACCTTTCCTACACACACCAGTGCTAAAGTTTCAGAGGATAGTAATCCGCCTGAAATTAACAAAAGCTTATTGGTTGACGTAACAGCTTGTCGAGCTGTCTTCTGTTCGTACGGTGTTTGTGCACCTTTCAGGTGTGCAGCCTTCAGATTTGGTTTCTCTATTCCCCCACCGTGTACTTTGTTCAACTGTCTCCATGTTACACCCTGTCTCTTAATCGTCACATGAACTCGCACACGCACCAGGTGTGCACTGCTGGTGTTAACATTCCTGATTAATTGCTTCCTGCTAAACAGCCCACTTAAGCCACCACCGACGGCTGTTTCACTATCATCATCATCATCATCATCATCATCATCATTTTATTTATAGCCCCAGAGTGAAAAGCAGAGAAAAAGAGTGGATGAAGAAGGGACCTAGTGCTGGCATGTGTCGAGAATTCTGAGGTGCCTACATCTCCACGGCCGTCTGTACAACTTGGGCCGTCAAGATTAACCTCAGTGTCAGATGCCGGTCCGGTTGTTGTGGAATTGTCATCCTGTTAAATGTGCTGCAACGCTCCTGTCGGGCAAATTACGAGTCGTGATCTAACCTGTCAACAGAATGGTCAAGGCGTGATTACGGAGCAGTTAGACCAAAGCAACGAGTTACCGAACAAATCTCAAAGATGGTTAGCAATGTGAGGTGTGACGTTAGCTAGGCAAAATGACGGTTATCTCACTCCGTTCTCTCTGAAAATTGAATTAGTGAACTGGAGGTCTCCATCCTCAAAATGACTCCATATTTGTAACCTTGACCATAAGAAAATTGCTACCGGGGAGTAAACAGAGATGAAGAGGACGAGGACTGAATCTAAAGATCCTTAAGGAACTATCGAACGAACTATCGAACTATCGAGCATTGTAATTAATGCTGTGATGGTCTCCACTTCGTTTCCATCCGTGCCGCTAAACAAAACGTCAAGTTGTTGGGCTGTGTGTGTCCTTGCTCCCTATCTGTCTTCTCACGAGTGACTTTCCCCCGGGATTGAAACAGAGTGAGTTCTTGGTCCGAATTCGGTGGCGACTATTGATGCCCGGCTCAGGTCATCAGGACTGTTAGATAGTGTGATAACCTTGATGGGATTGATAATAGCTGCTAGAAATCTAGTTCTACTGGGGTGTTCAGGTTAATAATAACTGGAATTTGTACCAACTTGATTGCGGTGAGAAAATATCGCTGATCTGTTCGGGTGAACACACCTAGATCGTAATTTTAGCATATGTGCAATTTATGATATCGATGTGTACGCTAAGCACAGTCGTTCCGTAAATTCACAGCTTGAGAGCTGATGATCCAACCATCTTTTGAACAACTTGGCGTGGGGATGGAATAGGGTTGGCTGGAACCCGCTTGTTTAGGATGAATACAGAGCCAATTCACAGGAATATTTGTATGTGCATAATTCTGGTGTAGTTCTTTCACTCAGTCACCCATCAGTTTTCATCCCTCACATTTCCAGCTGCATCAGAGCAAGTGTCAATGTCTCCGGCCTATCCGCCACCTCTGGTTGACGAAATCGTCCCTGTCTACCGGCGCAATTCACATCAGGAAATCTACTGTGGTTCACACATATATCCTGGTCTGGGAACGTACTTGTTCAAGTTTGACAATTCCTATTCCCTTTGGCGTTCTAAAATGCTGTACTATCGTGTTTATTACACATGTTAGGCACAGTGGCTCGCTACACGCGCACGCAAATGGCAGTGCCCTGATTTCCACTACCATCTGACATGGGTCTACTTGTGTGCGCCTGCATGTGATTTCTCATATTTTACGGCTGTGAACTCTGACCCACCACCAGACTGGTGTGTACTGGGTTGCTAACTTGGCGTGTTTTGCGTCCATTCGATTTATTCTGGATGTATCCGATCACACCATCTTGCCTCCAGTTGGTGTGTGAATTAGCACCTTATATTCTTTGGTGTTGTTGTAGGTCCTACTGCATGAGAACCCTTGTCAGCAAAGAATACTGGGTGCTGTGTTTTTGTTTCCCGTCTATTTTTTTTCACGGATCCTCGATTTGTTGTTGGATGGAAAACCTGTTTGAGGGGGTCGCTAAAGCAAGCCTGTAGAGGCTCAAATCATTCGAGTCTGTGGAGTCACTTGAAAACCTCTGTGAATCCAGAACGAAAATAATTGGACGTATCGATTTTGTGCAAATTTTCGTTAAATTTACACTAGCCTTTAATGAACTGACAAAAGTCATCTCGTCCTTTGGTATGCACTTTGCACCCACAAAGTGTAAGGTCATGCTCTTGGACGTGCAGTCACTGAACACGCCACTTACAGCCCAGGGGGAGGTACTGGAAGTTGTGGAGCATTTTACGTACCTTGGAAGTTGTATTAGTTTTGATCGTAATATGACAGATGAGGTGAATGCATGAATATGCAAGGCTGGGGGCGCGTTTGTTAATTTGAGACACCTATGGCGTCAGAATGGTTTATCCCTGAATCTGAAGGGACGTGTGTATCAAGCTACAGTACGGGCTGTTTTGTTGTATGGCTGTGAGACTTGGCCTATTCGAGCAGCAGACCTGAGACGTCTTCAGGTGTTCGACAATCCTTGTCTGAGAACCATAGCTCGTGTGGGTTGGTGTCGGCGAATCCGTATTGAGTTAGAAGCGTGTTTCCGGTTGTGCACCGGTTACTTCCATTGAATAATGGGTCCAGCACCAGAAGCTGCGTTGGTTTGGACACGTGTTGCATATGCCGAACCATTGTTTACCGAAGAGTGTTGTTTTCCATGGTCAACTCAGGGTGGCGTAAACTAGAGGTGGCCAACCCTTGACTTGGTAGAGGAGTATGAAGGAGATCACGAAACGCTTGAATGCTGTCGGTGCTACTCGCCTTCCAGGATGGGGACCCCGTGATCCTCACTGCGCCTGGTTAGAGACACTACAAAACATGGCTGCCAATCGATGTTAGTGACATTCTTGTTGTCAGTTTCTATCCAGATCGCCTGAGTGAATGTCTGGAGGTGCAGGCACCTCGGAATGCTTGTGGTAAGCTAGCACTAAGTCCCTTCCCCGTCCACCTTTATTCTTTTCTTTACAATAAGGCTTTCAAATAAATCATGGTCGTACGTCAGTGAAGCATCGGTGTAGAACACTGATGTCATGTTGTCGATGATGATGAGACTAGGAATCTGTTTCTTGATAGATATAATCTGTTGATGTGTGTTTGTTCACTTTGTCACTAGTATGATGCTTGCTAGCGGTAAGTTGAACCAGTTGTTTGTGACAGTTGGGTCAAATGCCTCATAGGCATGTTTAACCAATTACGCAGTCTGTCTGTGCGAACTCACCGTTAACAAAGAACTTGTTGAAGAGTGTATGAAAGAAGTGAATAGGTCAGCCCCTCGTGGTTATCAACAAGGGTGTCCAGTTTTATATCAGCAATAGACAGATCTTATCTCTGATGACCACTGCAACCGCCGAATAGCCGTTTAAAGCAATCGGGTTTGTCACCCATGTGGCGTGGTCCTACGGCCAGTGGACAATTTGATTACTGATTATTGTCGTTATACATATGCTCTAGGCATAATAGAGGAAGATTTAAGGTCAGTAGGTATATCTAAGGAGAACGCAGTTAAAGCTGTATCCAGCCGTAGCGGTACGTTTAGGTTACATGTAATCAATGAATCGCACCGTCATGGGTCTAGAAGAGGTTCAAAGCACTGATTAAACGGGTATCGGTGAACATAAACGCTTGTAAGCGATTACCACTGAGTTTTGAAATTTCACTTTGTATTCATTTCAAACGTGTAGTTTCACATAATGCACGCTTTTTCGGCGACAGACGGTTACGCACGTGCGGTTTTCCCCAATGTCCGATTTCTTGTAAGAAGCCAGAATCCTGCGATGAGCGAGCCCAAAAGCGAAGCTTTCCCCTCCATACGAAAGCTGGGAGGTTACTTATCGGTTAGCTTTTCTCCGAATAAAGGTCACATCCTTCCGCCCCTGAAGGGGCCACTGTGCGGAAGAAACAATTTGTGCTTGGTCACTTATATTTTAGGATCATGGAGAAGCCGCCTCTTAACTTCGACCGCCGGTTCGCTTTCGGAGAAATTAGGGTTGCATTCAACCGTTTTGACTATTTGACTTGCAATAGGGAGTATCTGTATCTTCTTAAAGAATGATCTTCGTAGATCCTCTGAGGGTTCTTGGACAATTCAAATGAAACATCGGCTTTGTTTGAGTCCTGGGGTGAAGTGTACATGTAAGTGGAAATGATACAGCTGTGACTGGTTGCACACAGTACTGTCATCTATATTTTGGTTACCAGCATCGAAAAGGTCTTATCCCTACACACCTTTACGCCAAGTTGTCGTCATCGACACCAATCTTGACATCGATTCTTTACTAGTGCCAGTCTGTTACAAGCATTATGGGGTACGTACAACCCCAAGTGCTCAGTCAGGTAATTCGGAAAGAAACTGACATTACGAACACAGCTGACCTAGGTTAGCCGTCATTTCTTGCATTGCCTCCGGCCAGGCACAGGAAGGGTCACGGAGATCCCATCCTGAGAGGCGAACCCCACCGGCAACACCCAAGACCCCACGTAAGCTTTATCGCACCCTTCTGCCAGGTTACGTGTTGTCCATTTTGCGGTTTTTGCCATTCTGAAGGAGGCATGGAGAACATTACTCTTCTCGGAAGACTATTTTTGGAGTTCACAGCACATGGCCTAACCATTGCGGTTGGTGGTGCTGTCACTCAGTTACGTGCTACACGACCGAATCCCCTCTGTCTAATTACCTCGTCACGACAATCCCGAATATCAAAAGGAAGGGTCGGGTTCGAAATTCTGCGGTACTTTTTACACAAGAGCAAGCCAGTTCATGCAACAAACATCAACTCCACATTCGTAGCGTCACCAAGCGCACAGGTCTGTCACTGATCGGCACAGTGCAGTGTCAGCGTCCGCACACCAAACATTGGCGAGCGGATTGTTGGCTCAGTAGGCGTGGGTTGTAGTCGTCCCTTCTGACGACAGTCTCGTGATTCTCATTGGCGACTGCGATTGGAACTCATGAGAAAATAAGTCAAGGCAGGCTCAGCAAAGGGGACACGAACGCGCATAGGTAAGTAGGTCAGCTGCGTACATTCACTGTAATTGGCGGGCCATTCGATCGACACAACCAAGGTATGTTATTTGGCCATCGTTCGAGGCGTCGGGCGTTCCGCTTACATCACCCGTCCAAACGTAAAAATTCGGATAGGTCGAGCGTGTTCTGGTGGCGTAGTCGTAACACGCTCGCCTCGCATGTCAGGTATGCGGATCTCAAACCCAGGCACTGCCATTGGATATGATGAGCTATAATAAGAGCGAATCTCGAGTCCGGTGCTTCCCCCCTTTGGTGTGGACTCACCAAAATGATTGCACCAGGGCAGGAGGATGATTATCCAAACGGCAGTCATGGGTATGAAATCTAATACAGAAGTGTGGGATGGGACGGCCTTTGTGGCAAGGTGAGTGGCGGGTACAGATAAGCAAAACGAATGGAGGTCAAAAGTATGTAAGCGGAGTAAGCAAATGAATGGGGGATTATCACGATGTCAAGTTATTTTAAATGCCCTCACCGTAGACTGGTACACGCGACCGTTGAGACCTAGTGATATACCCTTGTGACGCAGGTTAACGAACGTGATCGGGGCGTTTTGACATTTGAGCACTGACTTCATACTTCCATCAGACCTACTGTAACTCCACCAAATCCAGTGCTTCTTGAACTACAAAGGTCATATCCGGAGACTACGCGTTCTGGAGCACTAGCTTGTACTTATTACGTGCAGGGCGACGCAGTGGCTATGTGATGTGTGCACGTGACGAAAACCATCAACGGAGAGTTGGATGGTCCTAGTCCACGTGTGTGTGTGGGTCTGGGTTCTGAGCTGGATCCTTGGTGGGCACCATGGTCCTAGTCCACGTAGGTATTCCGGGTGTGTTTGGGTTCTGAGCTGGATCCTTGGTGGGCACCACATAGTAGAATGATCCCCGGCGTTCCAGAAATTGGTACTGCAAAGGAGCAGTTTGTGATCAGCACACACCTGCAGCATGTGCTCTCCGTCTTCTGTGCGTCTTGTGTCCACTTAAAGACGACCACCCAATTGAGCCTCGTCAGCGCTAAGCCTACCTACTAGGGCGTTCATGTCAACAACAACTCACTACAGAATCTGAGCTTCTGGCCCGTTGTAAAAGAGCACCTAGAGCGTCATAGAAACTCCTTAGTGAATTGAGAGATACAGTCTGCTGGGACGACAAACAAGTAGCGATGGACCTTACACTGTCGAAATTTCTCCACAAATTTTGCCGAACGAACTGCGCAGAGGCGACTGTGTTCAGACGCTTTCACTCGACTGCTCGATCCCGGCATATCCAGCTGCAGCGGCCAGAGGTGTGCGGTCGAAAACCGGAAGAGATGAAGGGGACAACCAGTTCAGTTACTGTACTTGCATCACTTGTCCTTGTCTCCGACAGAGAGCATACATCCATGCTTATAGAATCCAGCGTTCTAGCAAGAGCCGCTTGTTATGCTGATTTCTTCAGTGCGAGGCACATTAGGAGGACGGATTTGAGCGTTTGGAAACATTCTTCGAGGTATTTAGGTTGTTAGTAAAGTCGGACACACAGATGATTCCTCTGAGCCTGACATGGCGAACAAAGTAATCAGTCTTAGTGCTGGGACCCCCATATTGGGATGGAGTGCGGTAGAGTAGGAGAGGTGTGTGAAAGTGTAAGAAGTAAAGCATCAGTGGTAGCGTATTTTCGCTTACCTGAACTGCTGAATGCAGCAAGTAGGGTGACCCGACTGATGACATGACGCGACAACCGATGTGGCACGAGAATGTTGTTAGTTGCAAGTATCATGGTTATACTTGGGCTGAGATACTGCCAGGTCGCCCAGACCTAGATAGGCAGACGATTATGGTCCTCGACCAAAGTCTTCGTCTCAAAAGCCTAATCGAAAGGCAGGACGTGGCTGTCAACATACTACTGCAAAACCAGTACAAGTTTGTTTTAATGGGTAAATCATTGTGCCTACTGCAGCCTCCAACGTAGAGGACCA